ACAGAGACATTATTGATGCAGCACAGGAAGATGAATACTGCTCTCTGCTCTGTTCTTTTTTTTTTTTTTTTCCACCTTTACAGTTTTGAAATACACATGTGTGTATTCAATAATTGAATGTTAAGAAAACTGTAATTTATTTTTCCCAGGTGAAGCTGAAGAAGTACACCAAGTTCCTCTTTGTGCGCGACCCTTTTGTCCGTCTCATTTCTGCCTACCGGAATAAGTTTGAGCTACCCAATGAGGACTTCTACCGACGCTTTGCGCAGGTCATGCTGCGCCGCTACGCTAACCAGCCGACGCCTCCTGCTTCTGTGGATGAAGCCTTTTCTTTGGGTATCCATCCCTCTTTCTCCCACTTCATCCAGTATCTCCTGGACCCTCAGACAGAGAAGGACATGCCCTTCAATGAGCACTGGCGGCAAGTGTATCGACTTTGTCACCCATGTCAAATTCAATATGACTTTGTGGGACACTTAGAGACGGCAGAGGAAGATGCTGAGCACTTGCTGCGACTGCTGAGGGTAGACAACGTGGTGGAGTTTCCCACCTCCAGCAGGAACCTTACAGCCAGCAGCTGGGAGTCAGACTGGTTCAGCACAGTTCCAGTAGAGGCACGCAGGGAACTGTACAAGCTGTACGAACCTGACTTCAGGCTGTTTGGATACGAGAAACCAGACTCACTCCTCAATGAGTGACTCGTGATTCTACTGAGCTGATGGAGCCACGCAGACAAGATGTGTTTTTTTTTTTTGTTTTTGTTTTTGTTTAATTAAATGTTGCCCCGAACCACAGTGACACATCCCTCCTTCTTCTGGGTTGTGCAGATGTTTTCTCCAGTGTTGCTTATGCTAAACTAAACGTGAAAATGATTAGAGACACTCAATCTTCTGAGGAAGCACACTAATGAGTCAAAGCCATTATCAGTTATGGTTTTTCTTAACAAAGCTAACAAGAAGCACAGAGGTTAGACATGAACAAACAGATGAAGTGTGTTCAGTGTAGTCCTTAAAGAGGACCTATTGTGTTCTCTCCTTATTTTCTTTCATATATGTGCTGTTACAGTGGTGGATGCTGATATGAAACGTGGCCAAAGTTTCAAACCCTTTTCAAGTCCTAATGTTTAATTTCAAACTGTTTTTTTGTTTTTTTGTTTTTTTCTCTTTTTCCTACTCTTGAATCTGAATGACATCAGTGGAAGCAGCTATTCCTAATGTTGGTTGTCTCATAGCCAGCTGCTCCACCCCTCTGCTGCTCGAACCTCCTGTCTACAAAGGGGAAAACCAATCAGAAGAAGAAAGCTGGCTTAAAGGGAGGTGAAAGGAGGTGAACAGCAGATGAGCTGAGGTTCTTCACCGAGGCCCAGTTTTTTTTTTTTTTTAAACTCTGAATCGTGTGTAGTTGTGGCAGTAACATGTCCCCTTTAATTCAAAACTCCATGCTGCGTGTGCTGCAGTCTCATCTTTGATGTCCCCTCCATGCCTGCCATTTGTGGCCACAGTTGTGTTGTGACTAATTGTGATGATCAGAGAGGCTTCTGTAGTGCGACGTTTGAAAGATCCCACCTCTGCGGGGGCACGGAAACCATGCTCGTTGTGATGCTAGCACGGCTGCAGCAGTTTTGGAAATTTTGGCCTGCTTTAAAAAAAAAAAAGTCTGCTTGATTAGTTTCAATTGTAGTTTCTTTAATTGTTGGTCAGCTTATTTATTTCACATTGTAAAAGTGCAACGTTTATGTTAAGCATGAAAGGGATTTTTCTGTTGAAAATGCATACTAATGACAGTTCAGTTATACCTCATACACGGACACGAAGAATATGTTCATGTTGCTAACTCTTACAGAGAAAACCCTGCTGCTTTTTCACACCTGGAACATTTGCATGGCCCATTAAATGATACCAACAGTTTATTTTGACAACATTTTAGCTGCTTGCTTTATTTTAGCAGTTTCAAAGCATGATGTAGCCTCATCGTACAGAAGCACAGCAGCTCCAGTAGGCAGCACAGCAGGGAGATTAGTGGGATTTGTCTCAGCTTGTCTTTTAAAATATAAATCCCTGGCGTGAGGATTTTTTTTTTTTTTTTGGGTCTTCATGGTTGTACTTGTTCAAACGTGCCTATGTGTATTTAAACAGTTTGTAAAGGGAACATTTTCTTTTGTTTCATGTTGTTGCCATCAACACTTGCTTGGTGTTTCCATGCACAGTGTACAGTTGTTTAACACTTAATTATGCTGGGTAACCCTGAAGACTGCAACAGTGCCATAAAAGGCTGATGGGGTTGAGGGGGGTAACCGGGGTGGTGTGGACACCCAACTTTGTGAACACGAGGCAACTTAGGAATTTCAAATTGATACCATAGGTGATAACTGACCTCTTCTAAGGTCAGAGGTCAAGTTTTCTGAAAATCTTGTGAATGTGATAACTGAAGAAGGATACCATAGGTGCATCTAATAGGAGGCTGAGGGGTAGCATTGATAGGCAGTCATTTATTTACATTTTTAAAAATCTAAGGGCAGAATTTTCATGGGATGCATTGTTTTTGTAGCAAATGAGCTGAGCACATTATATGAAGCCAGCAAAACACAGTTTTCAGTTGTGCAACGCTACTGCGCTGCTGTGAGATGCATCGAGTTGGTTTGATGATAACATCAAAGTACAACTGTAACGTATAATGAGGCTATACTCGGCGCTAGCTGAAAGGCGAAGGCGTGAACACGGTTAGAATCGGAGCTTCGCAGCGTGAGGCTGGGTCAATTTTAAGGGGGAAAAGTGCAAAGGGAAGACAGTGCCTTTGGTTGCAAAAGTTTACACAGCAAAAAAAAAAGTATTTTTGTAGGACTTAATTTTTACTTAAATCCAAATACAGTAAGAGCTGTATGAAGCCACAGCAAAGTATGCTTGACGTGCTGGCCTGTGTTTATCGTGTGCAATCATCATTTGGGGGGGAAAAAAGTAAACACAGGAGCCCTTTAGGAGAACCGTAAATGTCTTTATGTGTGAATTTGTATGGATTTGTTTCTCTCCAGTGTGCCTGTGTTTGGTTCAGACTGTATGTGAGGTCATGCTCTGTCCGACATTATTCTGCACGTTCTTATGTGTGTGTGCACTCACAAATACATACACACTGAGTCAGTGTCGTTTCAATGCTTTTTGGTTTGTTTTGTGCAACTGTGGGGTGTCGTTACTGTAAAAAAAAAAAAAAATTTAAGATCTAATGTCATCTCAACAACATTGTTCTAAATATACAAAAAAAGACGGTTTGTATGAAGATAATGGAAAAAAAACTGCATTTCGTTCTTTGGTCTTTTTTATGTGAGTGTTCACATTCATTCAGTTAACAATGATATTTTTCATTTCTGTGAAAGTTCAAAGAATTGACTTTTATTTATTGGCAGAAATAAAACTCATGAATAAATACTGCTTTCTTTTTTCAAAGGGAGCCTTGAACACTTTGTTTAAACTGCAGTGCAAAAACCACAGCCTACTTCATCTCAACTGATGTTAAAAACACAAATGTCATATTTGAACTTCATGGCACATTTTAGAAGTATTCATGTAGCTGGAATTTAGAGAAATAATGTTGCGGGGCAGGAAAGGTTAATCTGCTCTTCTTTAGTGTGATTATGATACAATACTAACATTAATCTACCAGACTGCGAAAGGTTACGCAATGTAACGCACAACTATCACTTGGAATGAGAGCTGAGAATCGTGGTGAAAAATACATGGCTTGTAGGAGAATAACAGGAAACCAGTGCAGCCCACAAAAATGTTAACAGGAAATGCTGACCATGTCTCAAGTGTGAACACTTCAGCTCGCCGCTTGCTTTAGTTTGTTTATGCTTGTATATATTTGTGATTCATATCACAGGTGGGACAAAAATTCTAGTCATCAAGAATGTAGTTAAATATCAAGCACCTCTCCTTTTATTCCTCAAGGTGTCAGCGTGGACAAGTTTATCACCATCTTCCAGTCATTTTGTCGTGGCTGGCAGTGCTGATCTGGGCACCTATATACTAGAGCAAACCTAAATAATCGTGCCTTTAGTTCAAACTGAAAAGACAAAATGTATACCTTAAACATGGCATGGCTTAAACATGCTTCCTGACTATGCCCAGTAGATTATGTCAGGCAGGTAAGGTGCTGTGATGTAAGTGTGATTGGCTGGAAACCCATCTTGATGATATACCCTGACAACAAATCAACAAATCTAAGTTTAATGATGCAAGTTCCAGCTGAAGGACTGACCCTAGGGACACATGATGGTAATGTGAACAAGTGAATGGAAGAAAATAAATACTTTAGATGAGTAGAAACAAATGAACAGTAACCCTTTTTCTGCTTCTTTCATTTATTTTATATAACTCATGTCAGTCTGTGGGGACTGACATGAGTGGACATGAAATAAGAAGGGCTCACAGTGAGAATTACATTGAACATGTGTCCAAAAAGACGTTCTTATCATTATTGTTGCTGACTACTATAAACAACATTCACTTTTTATTCCAGTCACGGAATAACCAAAGCTGGATAAGGAGTCACTGCTGTTAGAGCATCAACGCCACGACCTTAAATGTGGAACAGACTGTATATAAAAGATGGATGTAACCCCCATGACGTCACCCATGGTGAGTGAGGGTCATGCTGCGTTCCATTTGTCTCAGAAGTGAGAACTGGGAGTGATTTGACACAAGTGTGGAAAAACAGCACAACGCCTGTTTTTGCTCTTCAAAACATCACAGCATGGATATTGGCTGGTCAGTGCTCTATGTATGGCTAATTTAGCGAGTCACAAATACACAACAGTGTATACACAACTTCAAATGGAGCGCACTGTTAGATTTAACCATGAAACTGAGGCCCACGGCACGCTCACTGCCTTATGACTTGTGAGTCATGAGTATACGCTGATTTATCCTGTTTTGTGACTCTAATAATGGTCATATTTACAACGTGAACCCAACTGTGACCTGAAATTAGTAACTGAGCACATAAAGTCATAATGAAAATGTTTATTCTCGTCACAGGGAAAGGAAAGTAACATTACTTATTTTCTTTTAACAGCCTGATAAGTCTCCCTCTGCTGGCCATTAGGAAGAATGCAGGTTTAAAGCAATATGGCAATGGCTCACTTTTTAGTGTATACAGTTTAATTAATGCTTCACATTCTCAAATATTACATTATGTATCAATGTTTGGAGTGCTTTTAATAATCAGATTAGTATTTGTGTTTTGTGCTGCATTAAGCTCTGCAGTCCATGTGTGATCTTTAGTGTAGTTTCATTTTCCTTCACAGCTTTAGTGACATAACTTTGTCGGGCTGTGTGTCTGCACTTTCTTTGTAATATCTCACGAATGCTATCAGGGAATTTCCTCAAACTGACACAAATGTTTATGTGGAATCCAGGACGATTTAAAATGTTTTCAGTGGTTAGAGGTGAAGGTTTACTCAGATGAAATGATGACATCATAAAGGTTAAACTTCACCCTGACATCGCAGTTTTGCAACAAAAAGACTTTTCTGCCTGTTATTTATCTGTTATTAATGCACGACTCAGGATTAGAAGGTGAGAGTTATTCATTCATTCATTCATTTGCGGTTGTCTGGAGAATCAGTTTTCTCACTCGTTAGAGTATCGAGTCATTTTAAACTATGACTGCCAGAGCTTAGCTATTTGTGTTTTGAATTTATTGGTTTTGCATGCATAAAAGATTAAAGTTAGCTGAAGATGTAAATCTTAGAAGGAAAGAAGAAAACTTTGTAAAATATACATTTCCAAAACCCAAATTCAGCAGGAGTTCAGTTAGCACCGCGTTTTAGCAAAACTCACTAACAGCAAATCTTCCCAGTGAATGTCATATAAAATGCTTCTGAACACCAAATACAGATAATTTTTCATGTTAAATAAACAGATTGAGCCTGCATCTTTGTAAAGTTAATGCTTTGTTTAATGCATCTAGTTTTACACATCAGGGGCAGGAGTGATGGATTCCAAACCAAGACTTATTTGATATTTGATGGTTTAAAAACATGTCCGTGATTGACAAACACAATGAAACTGCTTTGTGGGTAAAAAATGTTTTTTTGCTGTGGGGTTCATAAGAATATATTTACCTCTCTCATTTGGCAAATATGAAACTACAGCTTAGCTCAGCACAGTGGAAACAGTCCCCCCACCTTTAGGTAAGGGTAACAGAATCTGCCCACAGTCACCTGTAAAGCTAACTAATGTGCATGTTTCACATTTGTGGGCAGTCATTTTCCCCTTTATGAGCACAGCTGAAAGCAATGAATCTGTTTGACTGATGCTGGATCAGTGTATAAGAGTCATTGGTGCAAGAAGGTAATGCGACTGATCGTCTCCGTTTTCCAAAGTCAGACTGACTTTGGCTTTGAGCCCCCAGCTGAAGAAAAGAAGGGCTTATGTTACACTCCTGTCAGAAGCTCAAAGCAGACCCTGCAACCTTATCCTGTGATACCTGTTAAAATGGGAATCTAATCTAAAGGCAGATTTCAGGGCCTGGCTATTGCACACCGATTGTTTGATGTATCCTGTTTTAAATGGTTTTATTTTTTCCTCCCTGAGATAAAGATATTTAATTCAAGTTTTTCTTTTTTTTTTTTTAAAATAGTGATACAGAGCATTGCCCTTGTAGATACCAATCTGGTGTGGTTTTAGGGTTGCCAAACCCTGTTTTTCTCTTTGCTTTTTTTGGTTCTAGACCGGCGATATCAAACTCATTTTATTGAGCCACATACAGCCCGCTTTGATCTTTGGGTCAAAGCAGTCAAACATAATTGTGTAAAATGTAAAATAAATGTAAAATAAATGTAAAATGTAAAATAATTGTGTAAAATGACACAAAATTTGACAATAGTTTATTGCACACACTGTCCTATAATTATTGTTATTCATTTAGAGTGGACTTAGCGGAACAACAGGAACTTTTCCTGTCATTTAATTGTTTATCTGTTAGTTAAAAACTTTTCTTATTGATAAAGACTGCCCACCCCCATTGGCAGTCTTTATCAATAAGAAAAGCTGTAAAACTTATGGAAATACAGTTAAAAGTTAAATATTTATGCACTCCTTACATTTACTAAAGCCATCCAGTGGGCCGGAATCGAGTCTTCGCTGGGCCGATTCTGGCCCCAGAGCCTTATGTTTGACTAGACAGTGGAAGCTCTGCAGAGAGCTGGTGTGGTTTTTCTCACTGCTTCTTGCATGCAGTGTAGTAGATCTAAGCGGTAGAGGCCACTTGAGACTTCTTGACAGATCTTGCTGCTTTTTTCTGTGCAGTTGACGTGTGAACATGTGGTGATTGTTTTTTTATACTTACTCCAGAAAGCACACTGCCCATTTTATTTAGTTAGGCCACTCACTGCTGTGCAGTATTTAAATTATTTAATATTTAACTCATTATTTGTTGATTTCGTTAAATGTATTGTTTTGTTTTCTTAAATCGGTGACGACTTCATATTTTCTTAATATTAATATTGAAATTTTGAATCTGAATCATTTTTTTCAGCCCACCAGGGAAATCTGGTAAAGCTAGGAGTCTTTCTTTTTATATAAACATTTTTATCTTGTTGAGTATGTGTTTATCTACAAGGACGGTTTTGTGGTAAATTGCTTTCGAGCTCAACCGTGTACAGTAATACTCAGCCGATTCATTCCTTCTCTTCACTGGGCTTGATGAGGTATCCACTGAACGTTATGTAGATATCTACATCGTCACTGTAAATGGCGTTCTCTCTCTCCCTCTTGTACAGGCGGACCCACACCTCGTCGTTCAGCTCCAGCTCCAGCATCAGGCTCTGACTCTGCATGATTGAGCGGTCGCTGGGCTGAGCGTACACAATCGCCCGCTCTGTGTCGTTCTGCATTATGTGGAGGTACGTCTCCTTGAAGTTCCACGTGTGGATGTTGACGTTGAAAAAGTAGATCCCTGGGATGTGGCAGACGAATGCTCCCTTGAACATGTTGAAGTGGTCGTCGAGGTTAACGAAGACTGTGTCGAACACAAGCCCTTGATAGGAGTCCAGGCTGTGAAGGGATTTTCGACGGCCGACGGAGAAAGCAGAGTACTGGACTTTGCAAGGGTCTCCTGGGAGACCAGCCTGACCCTTAGAGCCTTTTGATCCCGCTGGCCCAATAGAGCCTGGAGGTCCTTCAAGTCCAGCTTTGCCTGGTGTCCCTCTCTCACCACGGTCTCCTTTGTCACCTAAAGTGAAAATAATTACACGACAGTATGAGATCATTTTTAAAAAGTCCAAAACCAAGAACAATCGTTGAAAGAGCTTTGCAAAGAAAGCTGGTCTAAAATTGTCTTTGAGGCTGTCGGATAATCATCCAAAACCTGCAATACGTTCTGCGAGTGGTGTGATGCTTCCTTCTGATGCCAATGACCAGCTTGCTTTATCATAACAAAGAGCATCATATTAGCTGATGTCTGTGCTTGAAAAAATAAAAACAAACAAAAAACAGGAAACTGGATTTATTTAAGTTTTTGAAGACTTTTCACCTCTAATCTAAAAACTATATTTGCTGATATTTTTTGTTGAATAAAGTATTGAAATAAATAGTTTTCCCTCTTCGTCCATCATCTTTATCTATAGTCTCAAACACGACCAAATACTTCAGCACAGCCACACTTTCTGTTTTTGCACTTTATACAGTGTAGAAACACTGGGCCTGTTGTGTTGTCTTTGGCTCGGTTGTCCAGTGACCTGCATGGCTTCATAAACATGTTGCCTTCACCCTTTTTTGTTGCCATAAATTCCATTCCAACATAACTCTTTATAAAACAAGACCTCTCCTTAAATTTCAAATGCACATATGTTTAAAAGTGTTTTTTCCCCAAACAATTCTGGCTTTATTGTGAAAACCTGTGAGTCTGCAGATGTTCTACTACATATATTACACAGGGTCACACAGAAAAATGATTTGGTGCTTGGTGACTTGACCTCAGATGGCTGCTATAGATGTGTTACCTTTCAGAATGGTCATGTTGATGTATGTGCGGACCTCTGGGGCATAACTCCTTGGCTGGGCGCCGCTGCCCTCTGCTGGCTCCAGGTGATCACAGCAGTGTCTGCAGGGGACTGGAGGAGGCACCGTGGCCACCAGGCAGGATAAGGACAGGAGCAGGAGGAGGATGCCCGACATGGCTGTAACTAAGGTGAGAGCAGAGAGTTAATATCTGCTGAAAATGGACTCGAGAGACTTTTCTATATTATCTGGAATTTGTGTGTCATCATTAGCGAAACGGTGTCCTGGTGACACTCACTGTAGCAGAGTTTCATCATCCAGTTTCCCAGACGCATGTTAAGTCTGCTTGTTGGCTCAGACTCAGCAAAGACCTTCAGCGAGAAAGGTTTCTAATCCTGGATTAATCCACGTCTGGGAACTTGAGCCTGCACTTCTAGCTATCTGTCTGCTTTCTGAACACGATAAGTCGCACAAAGCATGTAAGATAAAGTCATGAAACTTTACCAGTTTGTAGCTGAAATCAAAACGAAACCCAAGTGGTGTAATCACATAGCGAGATGGCCTATATGTGGAGTCAGTTGTTGGACAGCTGCTTTGAAAGTGAGATAATGATGTCAGAAGCTGGAAAAAGAAAGAGGAATCTGAAGCAGTGAGCCAGCAAAAACATGCATCAACCTGGGAAGAGAAATCAGGAAACTGGAACTGTGGAAAAAAAAATCAAGTAAAGGTTTTTTGTTTTTTTTTCCAAGACAGTCAGTAAGTTTGAATATGAGTTGACCAGGTAGCCCAGCGGCCTTTTAATGGTCAATTAAATGTGATTCTGAGAGTATACCTCAATAATAATAATGCTAATAATAAAAACAAAACAGGGCTTTCTGATATATTCATGCCAAACCAGATGTTTCTCTGCCCATATTTTACCATGACTGCACAGCCAGCTAGACAGTGGCCAACAGGAGTGTGAGATGGGCATGCTGGTTTTGCCTCATAAACACCTGCTCCTCTTACTTCCTGTGTACTTTACTCACTTCTTCTACAAACCAATCTTTGTAGCTGGTTTTTATTTCAATCTGTACCATCCACAGCTGCAGAATTTCTCTTGAAAAAACTCTATTCACAGACTGACCTACATATAAAGAGATGCAGCAGGAACTACCACAGACACTGTTTGCAGTAGTTGCTGCTACAGTGTGTGTCACCAGAACCAACATTTTTCCTCCATGACAGACTCGCAAATGAGAAAATGAATAAGAACCAGCTGCTTAACCTAGTCAGTGTGTGTTATCCACAGAGATTTAACATTGCAAAAGGAATCTGGAGTGCAAGGACCATAAATCGCTTGAAAAATGACCCTGGGCTTTTTTTGTTTTCAGATAGCAAACTCTGGAGAACTGGGAGATAGGTGATGGCCGTCTGCCAGACTCTCTGTGTTTAGAACAGGGTGTACTGCTGTGTTTATAGGACAGCTGAGTCCATACCCACAGTTGCATCCTTTACGCACAGGTGGCTGCTCAGCTAAAGACCACGAACGCAACTTCTGCACACTCTTAAAAATAACTTGCTCTTGTTGTTTTGCTATAATCAAGAGAAGAAACAAAGTAAGAGCCACCATGAAACAAAGTAAGTCTGTAATGCGCCGATATTTTCCGAATGTTTACTTGGCACCCTCAGGAAAGGGTTCTCGTGTAACGCTGTATCACATCGTACGGGTTTTCCTGAAATGTTACATTCACATTTATTTGCATATATCTAAGGGACATTACTCTTAATAATCATAGGGGCAAAATAGAGGCGCAACCACAGAGTACTTGAGAAATGCCATCAAAACATCAGGACACTATCAGGAGTCAAAATTGTGTATAAAATGCATGTTTTTAAGGTGAAGACTTGGATTAAGACTTCACAACAAAAACAGGATTTTTGTAAACGGAACTAATAATTTGAAAATGGTATTTAACCCCCCCCCAATTATTTATTTATGTTTTTGCCTCGAATTATTCCTGACAAGGACTTAGTTTTCAGGATTCATCCTTGTCTAACTCTCTTTCCTTTTCTTTGACAATCCATTTCAAAGGGACACTTCCCTAAATGAGAGAAGCAGGAGGTTTTCTGTGTCCGAGTCATATTTTAGCACTTATGTGTCCACCTTTGTGCTACAGACAGCTCTGAGAGGGTTTGAATGGTTGAGTTGCAGTTGATTCAAACTAAAGGTCATCTTTTTTTGTTCACCAAATCCAAAAAGTAACAGAGTCCAAGGGTAAAATGATGAAAACACAAGAAGAAAAGAAGCAAAAGAACACGGAGAACAAAACAGGAACAAAAACTGATGACACGACAAGAGCAATAAGGAGGACAGGGCTATTTATACACCGAGGACTAATTGGGAGAAGGTAAAGAGGGGAGGGTTGATTAATGTAATCAAGACAACCAGGACAGACTGGAAGTTTCAGCCAAAACAAGATGACTCACTCTAAACATGAGACAAGCAAACACTGGAGGACAAAAGTTAGCACAGAAAGATGAGCAGAGAAACACCAAGGACACTCAAAGTACCCCTAATAAAGATCAAGAGCAGAAGCAGAGCAGATTAGACTGTGAGCAGTCTAATAAAACCAATAAAAACCATCCCCGTGGTGTGAGGTCAGCTGACTTCAGGAGTTCTAACAATAAAACTATGACTCCACCCTACAGTTCGTCTGTTTGAGGTGCAGAAAGCACCATATGTTTGGAGCAATTCATGGTTATGTAATGCTAATCAGGGGTTGGATTTAGTGCATGTGGGTAAAAGTGCACTGTTTTGCAGATCTTTAGGAGTCTCACATAAATTCTGCTGATCTGCTGCTGCAAATTAAATAAAGTAGAAAGCAACAAAAAACAAAACAAACGCTCCTTTCCCAGGTTACAGGTTACATTATTGGTCATTTGTGCTTAAACTTGAATTTATAATAATTGATTGTGATTATAGATTGATGATTCCCCCCACCCACCCTCACCCCGACTGCCTGAATGGTGTTTTCTTCCTTTCTCACAGTGGAAATGTGCTGCTTGCTTGTATTCGGGTCCTTCTGGGATTTATCCAGATGTTTGACATGGCTCGCGCTCTGACCAAGGGTATTACATAAGATTTTCTCTTTCTTTCTTTCTTGCGGAAATCTCTACTTGAACTGGAAACTTGTAAATCAAACGGGATTTTCTCCTAATATCATGATGAAAGGCATCTTTACATACTGATGCTTCTTATTTCATAGCATCCATAAGTACATGCAGTTATTCTGTTGGCTGTGTAGTCCACATTAAAGGGTTTTCTGCAGCATTATACAAGTTAAAGCCAAACTGTAGTTAGTGAAGCCTCCGTGCTTTCTAGCAGACTGTCATGCATCACAATCTCACATCACCGCCACAGCGCTCCGATGCAGCCGACTGATCTCTATCTGAATGACTCACCTCGTTCACGTCTGCGCTGCCGCTTCACACCGCTCAGAAGACGGGGACGGAGGAGGGGGAAAGTCCTGAGTCAGCAGCTCCCTCCCTCCTTCTCTCTCTCTGTCTCGACCTCTGTGTGAATTAGATGTGAAAAGTTTCCTATAGAAAGGAAGTCCTTCTTTTCTCCCTGACCCCTCCTTCGTGGAGCAAGTATCAGTCCGTTTATCTGACAGTAAAAGATGCTCAGTGATCCGGATCTGAGTTTTTTTCCCCCCTGAAACATAAAACTGATGAACACGTGAAGCACCTAAAGCCTTTTATTTGCTCAGAGTTGTATCCCCAATCTGCCAGATGCTAATTAGGATCAAACAACACGCCTTGTTAAAGTTTAGCAGCACAACTTAATGATGATAATACCACCACCAGCAGCTGGTATGTTTTGGGAACACTCTTCATATCCTCTAGGGTGTGAGCTTCCGCTGCTGAATATCTGCAAACTTCCAGACCTCTCATAAAGCGCAGCTGCCAGAAGAAAGAGAGCTGGAGCAGAGAGAGAGAGCAGGAGTATAAAAAAAGAAGGAATGTCCTAAAGCTTAAGTAACCTACCCTCATATTGTGTATTATATCACATGAAAGGGCACGGAGAGAGCTGTACAACACACTTTTTATATATTCAACTTTACAATGACACCAGAAGGTTTTTCAAAATTACACACGGCATGAATAGATCTTTAAGTCTCAAGTTTTTACAGCTTATAGAAGCTAAAGATTTCAGCCAGTCCTGCTTTAATCATATGGGTAAAGATAATAAAACACACCATTTAAGTATGTAATGCTTAAAGGTCATAGGTCAAAAAGTCAGACATCACCACGTTGTTATAAAAACAGGCACAGTTTGTGTTTCTGTTATCTTTATAAGGACCAAGAATAATAAAAACATCATAAAATATAACATTTATCAGGTACAAGCAGGTGGATTTTGCAGTCTCTGGACAGATTGGATTTATCTGCCAGAGCCAGTTCACTTTCTGTCAAGACGAATCCCAGAAAAATGGCTGCAAAGCCCGGAGGGCGCTGACCAGAGAGTCCTCAGTGAAGGAGTGACTGGAGCTAAAGCTTAAAATAACCACTTTGCTGTTATTTGAAGTTGTTTTTTTAAATATAGGATTGATTTAACATTCAAAGTGAAATGAAACAACACTTTCTTCTTTCGTCTTTTTCATCATTTCATGCGCACAACGAAAACTGGCACCAAATTTAGAAAACGATTACATGTTTGAGCCTCATTCTTCAGCTTGGAAACAAGTCCACGTCCCTTCAGTTTCAGACGACATGCTATGTTACGTCAAAGGTTTTTGTTTTTTAAAATGCCTTTACAGCCAATGCAGCTCATGGTGATTTATCACTGAATTATTTGTGTTTATTTTGTTTTTACAGTTACTCCCATGGAGTCCCTGAAGTACCTCAAGGTGATCTGTTTTATGTTGAGCACACATTAGCCAAAGACAAGGATGCAATCCAGAATTTCAAAGAAGAATGTCTTTGTCTCCCATTAACTTCCCCGCTATGTGCATTCAACCAGGCATTTAGCCACTGCATAGCCTGAATACCAATGCCTTTATAAAAACAGTGATGGCAGTAATAATAATACCTCATTATCTATTGTAGCAGATGTGGAGGAGGATGAAACATCAGCACCTTACTGCTGTTGCATTGGTTCGTATTTAGAAGTAAAGTCAGAGGAGGTTAGGGATGGTTTGTGCACATGTGGCATGAGAACAGCTGTTGAGCATTACTGCCTGTGGGGCCCGAGGGTTGAGGTAGACTGTTCTTCTGTGTTGGTTACGCCCGCAGAAAATTCCTGTGCTTTTTCCGGCCACTGTTGACTGATAAAGAGCCACATCTGAAATCAGCCGATGCATCTCATTTAGTGTCTGCAGTCTTTGAGTAATCAGACACTGACATCCCAGCACAGCTCACATTTCCTCACTTTGGTGTCTCTCTGATAGCTGCATCAAGTATTTTCCTGTAGACTTTTTTTTATAGAGAATATTTTATTTGGAAGCATCTTGTCTTAAATAAAAACTCAAATTTTTCAAGCAGCAGGAAGAGCATTTTAGAAGCAGCATGCTACTGCACACAGCTTATCCTCTAAGGAGCTGTGGTGATAAATATCTTATGTCACTGACGTTTGGCCTTGCAGGTGAACCACACACACCCGGGTCTAAGGAGCTTGGAAAGAAAAGCGTCTGGACTTCTTTGAGTTGCTTGAAGACGTTTCACCTCTCATCCGAGAAGCTTCTTCAGTTCTAAGGGTCAAATGGTGGGGGGAAACTCCCACTGGGTTTAAATCTGGGACTCTCCACCATTTGACCTTAGAACTGAAGAAGCTTCTCGGATGAGAGGTGAAACGTCTTCAAGCAACTCAAAGAAGTCCAGACGCTTTTCTTTCCAAGCTCCTTAGACTACGATGACCTGGATGACTGAGAACCTTCACAGACACACACACATATGGCTTTAAAATATACTTTAAAATATGAAAGATACTTAATTTGACCTTACTGCTATTTTGCTTCCTAAATGTTGATGTTTTTGCAATGAGGACTTTATGCATTGCAACCCTACTTTCCTCTCAGTGTCACGCTTACTAGTTACTAGCAATTATTTGCAAATCTCATAAACCCATCATTTATTGATGATAGCAGATAGAAAATGCGTCAAACGTTTAAACTGCAACAGTTTAAAGAAAAGTACCGGCTCATGTTGAGTTCGATGGCAGCAACAAGTCTCAAAAATGTTGGGACAGTCCCGTGTTTACCACCGTGTAGCATCGCATCTTCTTTTAACAGTCTGTAAACATGTGGGAACTGAGGAGGCATGTTGTCTCGTTCATGTCTGATGAAAGACTTTAGCAGCTCAATATTTTTTAATTAATTCCATAACCTCCATACCATCAGAGATGCAAGTTTTTAAACCGAGTACTGACACCAAACTGGATGTTTTTAGTCTGGAGGACGTGGAGTCTACATTTTGCAAAAATGATTTTGATTTGTTTGATTTATTTTTACTCATCAGAACTGTTTTCCACTTTGACTCAGTCCATTGTAAACGAAATTGGACTCAGATAAGATGGCGATGTTTCTGGATCATGTTGATTTCTTCTTTGCATGATAGAGCTTTAAGCTGAATGTGTGTAAATCACAAACAGTGATTTACATAACAGAATAATTCCTGTTTTTTTTTAAGGCCAGACGATCACAGACATCTAATGATGATTTTCAGCCTTTACTTTGCGCACAGAGATTTCCCCAAATTCTCCGAATCTTTTGATGATACCACGCAGTGCAGATGATAAGATGTTCGGTCTTTGCAAAGTCATTTTCTCACTTTAAACATTTGATATGTTTTACATGTCTGTATATGTGAGTAAAATATGGGTTTGTGAGATTTGCACATCATTGTATTCTGATAATATTTACATTGTCCACAGTGTCTCTCCCCTTTGCTCTTTTCCTCTTCGTCTCCTCTCCGCACAAAATCCAAATCTGACTGCTCGACGCTTTCATCCACAACACAGAGCAGGATTAAAAGCGTGCAGCTCACCTATGTGGAAGCACCTGCATTTGTTTTACAGCGACTGCAGTTGTGTAGGCAACCAGGAAGATGACTGCAAAACCTGTTGTTTCATTCTGACATAATTATGGGGAACTGCATTCAAATATGAAAACCAACAGAGAGTTGAAATTTCAGACCTCAAAGCATTCTTGTGGTTCAGCTCAGGAAAAACAAAGACAGTTGGTGACAAAGCTCACTTTTGCTATTTTGAACAAACCCCTATTGATTTATAAGAAGACGCTTAATCACTATTCAAAGTGTTTTTTCAGATTTTTTAACAATACGGGGAAGCAATTTTTAAAAAGCAGGAGTGCAATGTTGCTGTGTTCGTTTAACGGACGACTTGTATTTGTTAAGAAAGTGTTTGGCCTCGGACGTGATCACGACTCCTGTGCATTTGCTGGTTTCTGTTGCTGCTTCGTGAGGAGAGTGAAACCCATGGTCACCTCGACCTCGCACCCTCCCATTTCACTGTGGCTTAGATCCAAAACACAAAACAGCCTGTGGTTTTTCAGCAGAATCTACAGTTCTTTTTCAATCTCTCGGTTTATGTTTTTGCACACATCTCGCTCTTCTCTGTTACTTTAAAAAAAAAATCTTGGCCAGCTGAAAATCGAAACTTAATGAAGCGAGGTGGATTTAAACGCATAAAGACTCCTAGCTGAATGCCAAATGGATACTCCTGGCATACTCTGCACATAAAAATAAATTTTGTTTTTTAATAAAGTGGAAAAATCAATGAATAACGACAAAGACACTTTGGAAACGATAAAACCCAACAGACTTCAAAGGAGAGGAAGGAATCGCTTTTCTTTTTTCGTCTGTTTTCTAATATCAACAAAACACTTTGGTTTTCTGTATGACTTTATCAGGTTCCCACATCATTGCTGAGGATATTCGTTCAGTTTATTAGCGTTCAGACTCAGGTTGAAGTCTGGACCTTGACAGGCCCATTGCAGCACCTTGATTCTGCTGTGAGAATGACTAAAGGTGTCCAAATCATCACCCCTCAGCCACCGTGCTTAACAGTTGGTGTTTGTGCTGATGTGCTGTGTTTGGTTTTCCCCTAACATGGTGCTGTGTGTTATGGCCAAACATCTTCACTTTTTTCTCATTTGGCTAAAGGGCAACGTTCCAGAAGTCTTGTGGTTTGTGCAGATGCAACTTTGCAAACCTTCAAAGCTGTTCTGCCATGTTTTTTTGTAAGAAGGCTTTATCCATGCAACCCTTCCAAACAAGCCACGCTTGTTCAGTCTACTGTCACGAACTTTGACATTTAACACGGTAACGGAGGTTTGTAGAGTCTGAGATGTGGCTCGTGGGAACAGTCTGACCTTGTGGTGAATTTGCTCAGACGTCCACTCCTGGGAAGATTGTGGGATTGCATTAACACATTTCTAAAATGCTCCAAACCAGCAGATTTGTTCATACTTGCTCATGATCAATTAATCAAATGCATTTGATTGGTAGCGGAACCCAGCTGCTATTTAATCTCTTAATTTCCATGGAAGCAGTGAGGGTTCAAAGATGCTGGTGAGAACTTATTTTTTTACACTTGACTGTAGATGAGAATTGAAATGCATACTAAAAATAAACTGGGCATAAATCTTGTCAGCATGCACAAAGTCACT